TTGGCCACTGTGTCTTCTCTAGTAATGCAATAGTTCATACGAAAAGTTTAAACATTGTGTTTTCAATGTTTTCTTTCTTTCAAGAGGATTTCCCTTCTTGAGATTTATCTAAATGAAGAAATCAAATTTACCTGCAATAAAAATCTCTTCTCTTTTCTTGCAGTGTAAGAAAACTGATTTTTCAGCTCTATTTTAAAATATTTTTGCTCTTTCCTCATTTTGTTAAAAGTGAGTAACCATGAGAATATTGGGGCTATTGAATAAGAGCTGGCAATTTATTCATTTATTCCTTTTTTCTTATTAGAAAGTAGAAAGGTTCATGAAAATAAAAAGCCTGGGAATTTCTAAAGATAACTCCACCTTCACATATTTTTGGAGGAAATGATTTTTGTCTATTCCAAACAATGACGCTTAACACAATTGAAAGTTGGCACATTTTCAGTAAACAGTGTCTTCCTGGTAACGTGAAGTCTATTGCGTATTTCTTTTGAGCCAGACTTCTCAGTATCATTTTGGTCTGTAAAACATCAAAGTTTCCTCTCCAGTGTAATATTTACGTATTTAGAGAATCTTGATGGGAAGGAATTTTTATTTTAATTTAATGAGTAATCAACAGTAACTGAAGTCAAAATCTTTACTGTGATCTTTGGAATTAGGACTGGCTCCAGGAAAATACATGTAGCAAATTATACACAGAAAACACGTAACGTAATCTATTTGACTTTGATATTTCCAGATGTATCCCAGACATTTAAAAAGGCAAGAGGCTAAAAATGGTACGGAAAAAAAAAATACCTCTCCAATTTCCAAATTGTGCAGCCAAAGAGAAAAATCCGGGGCAAATCCCAAATGGATGTGGCCAATATTTAAAAAAAAGTCTAGCTTTCAACAGATCCACTTGGCTCTCCTGTGGAGAAAGTGAATTCTGAGAATGGTACTAACAAGTTAGCTCCAAGTATGATGGGCTTGAAAAAGAAGGACGAGATGGCTCTATTCCTTTGCACGTTGAGGATGGAGAGTTCTGAGCATCACCAATGGGTCAAGTCAGTGTCACTCTGAAATATACATTTATCTCATACCGCAGTTCTTTTAGAATGACAACCTTGGTCTTGGGGACAGAAGGGAAGAATGTAACTGTCTGTTGGGGCTTTGGCATATTTGCCACTTGTTCATATCATCCCTATTGAACTTCTTCTTTTTTTTCGACCAGGGGTTGGGGTAGGTAATTAGTTTTGTTTATGTATTTATTTTTAGAGGAGTTACTGGGGAATTGAACCCAGAACCTCGTACATGCTAAGCACGCGCTCTGCCGCTTGAGCTATACCCTCCCCTGCATTGGAATTTAAAATATGTCACATCCTGCTCAATTTCTAAGGAACACTTTCTGACTAACCAACAACCTTAGCTTCTTCTGTTCTAATGAAACCCTGATTCAAGAGCAGCTTAAAGCACTAAAAGCATTCTTCTGACTCTTTCTTTAAGGGAACAAATATATTACACAATTTGAGGACTGAAATGCTCTAGACAACAGACGTGACCATTAACCTTACACGGTTACTACAGCGTGTTCTCTAGTCCTTGCGACATACTGTTTCACATATGCCCTGCCAAGTATTAATCCTTAATAAATATGCAACACTGACAAATTAGTCATGTTCTTTGTGGGAAATATAACTTTTTTGTTTCAAAACATTTACATATTAATATTTACATCGTTACATAAATCACAATGCATTTTCTATGTTGATTTGGGATGGTTTTATTTTTAATAGAAGAAATAGAATGAATAAGTGTATGAATGTGCTTTGAGAAAATGCATCGTGACAGTCTATTTAGAAAATTGTAATTCAAACCAGAGTGGGCAAGTGTCATAGGAAAGGTTGCTGAACTTTGGATGAGTTCTGGGTTGTCAGTCACTTTCTTTCACTCCTTTATGGGCATTATTCTACTGATTTTTGGCTTCTACTGTTAGTCACTCTGGTTGTTAAAATCATCTCCGTAGTGTTTTTCAGCTCCACAGATGTGTCTAGCTGTGGATTTACTTTCACTGAACCAGCCTAGGACTTACTGTGCTTTTCAAATTTGAAAGCTCACGTCTGTCACCAGTTTTGGAAAACCCCACTGTTTCCTCAAGTGTTATTTCTTTTTTCTATATTCTCCTTTTTCTTCTTCTAATACATCTGTTAGACACATCCTGGCCATCTAAATACTGTTCTCTGTGTGTCTGAATTTCTCTTTCCTATTTTTGGTCATTTTGATCTTCCAGGTGATTTCTTTAGCTCTGTTTTTTAATCTAGTAATTATTTGTTTGGCTCTGTCCAGCTGCTAATAAACTGGACTAATGAGGTTTTCTTTTTTCATTTTAATGCCTATATGGTATTTATTTCCAGGACTTTGGTTTGTTTTTAAATCTTCCTACTCTTTTTTTTTTTTAAAGGAAATCTCTTTTTAATTTATTTTTTAAAATTTCTATTTAATTTTATTTATTTTTTGGTGGGGGAAGGTAATTAGGTTTACTTATGTATTTATTTATTTTTAGAGGAGGTACTGGGATCAAACCCAGGACCGCACGCATGCTAAGCATGTGCTCTACCACTTGAGCTATACCCTCCCCCTCTTCCTAGTCTTCTTTGATAACAACTTGTTCTTTTGTCAAGATTTTAAATTTTATATTTTGTGGCTTAATTATACAAAAAATACAGCTTATATTTATAGTTTCTGTTATTTTAATTTCTTCTGATTTTTCCTTATGTTATTTTTTTTACTTGTGTGTCTCAGAATCTTGAATTCTGAGCTTATGTTTAGCTGGGCTTTCTCTGCTGAAATTCTGGGAAGTGTATGCTGAAGGGTATATGCACCCAGAAAGGTTTTGCCTTTGTTTCTGTAAAGTGCCCCAGAGCGTTACCAATGCGGTATCACTTTTTTAATTAACTGCTTAAAGTAATATAATTTAATTTAGAAATGATTTCTATAAATAAAAATTCCTAATTTATATTAATTACTTAACACTTGGCGTTTCCTGGCTTTTGAATTCTGAATACTCAAGAGAACCTTTTTAGTTATCCCACGAGAAGGCCAGTCTTCGGTAGATTAATTTCCTGTTATAGTCCTATTTCGGAAGGCAGGTTTATTTTTGTGGTTCACCATTTCCGACTAAAGGCGTGGCCCTGCAGGTGCTCACTTTATGGAAAGTCTCAGTTCTAAGCCCTGGCTCCTGCAAAGCCCAGGGCTTTGTCTCTAGTCCACTGAAACACAAGTAACCTGAAATTCTCTGGTTTTGCGCCTTTTATTCAGTTTTTGATTGCTGGGATTTCCTTCATTTTTCCCCCCAAGCTCTGCTGTGCATGTGATACCATATTTTATCCAGCACGACTGGTTTTTCAGATTAGCTAGCCTGTCACATTACATAAATCCTATGTGTGGAGGCAGGGGTGTATATACACAGAGAATATACACCTTTAAAACTTGAAGAATCTTTTCCTACCAGGAAGGTGAATTGTTACAGATATTACTCAAACGTACAGGAATTGTCAGTGGCTTAATATGGTGACAGACGGATAGTGGGTGAAGCAACTGAGGATATGAGGGGTTATTTATATTCTGTTACCTCAGGCTTTCAGTAAGACTCATAGAAATGTATTTATTTAATCAGCATATAGTTAACGAAGTACGTAACTTCATCTACTGGCCAAAAAGGTACTTTTTTTTTTCCAGGATAAATGTCAGAAAAAGATCCTTTATCTGTTGCAGCAAAAAATGGAAGAAAACAACAAACTTAAAAAAAACCAAAAAACCTTACAAGTTGCTGTTTGTGGGCCTGAATTTTCTTGATTAGCCGCAGGGTTATGCTACAATCAACAGTTATAACTCACCAAGGAGGATCAGGGAAAGTTCAGTTTTCTTAAATTCTTATTGTCATGGTGAGGCCCTGGTACAGTAATTTCGACAAGAAAACAAGCACAAATGCTGATTAGTTATCAGATGGTAAATGATCTCAATAAGGTGCCGTGAAATGTAAGCCGTCCCAGGGACAGCACCTTTCGCAATGACACAGTTTTCTTTTTATGATGCAAAATACAAAACGAATATTCTGTAAACTCAATCCTGAGAAAAGATTACTAGTATGGACGTAGAATCAAATTTTGTCTCTTTCTTGGATTTTTTTTTTTTTTATGAAGATATTGAGAAAAGTTGCTTGGGTTTTGTTAACTTCAAACCTTTCTCCACATCTCACTTTTCTGGCGAGGCTCATCCTCCCTGGCCCACAAGTCCTGCAGTTTCCCCTCCTCTTACCCTCTCCCTACAGCCCAGCACACCCACCGCCCTTAACCCCTTCTCCTGTTTTCCCCTTTGGGCATCTCTCCCTTCTAAGATGCCATATTTTTATGAGTTGTTATGTTTATTATTTTTTATCTGTCTCTCCCCATTAGAAAAGTTAAAATCTCCCAAGGGCAGGAATCTTTGTGTTTGTTTACTAATATATTGCCAGCAAATAAAACAGGGCCTGTCACTTAGCAGGTGCTCAAAAATTACTTGTGGAGGGGGAGGGTGTAGCTCAAGCACTAGTGCGCATGCCTACGGTGCATGAGGTCCTGCCTGGGTTCAACCCCCAGTACTTTCTACAAAAGTAAATAAATAAAGAAACCTAATTACCTCCCTGCGCCAAAAAAAAAAAAAATTACTTGGGATGCAAATGAATAATTTTTTATTTCCCTGCCTGTACATCAGAGGGATCTCTCATGGCCCCTCGTTTCCTTACAGAGATACGCGGGTACAAATGTGATCCGTGTATGCCAAGTATGTTGATTCAATGGAAGGAAAGTTGCCATTCGTAGAAAAACACCAGGGACCATTTTTCGGAAGCAGAGTTACCTCACTTTTAAATGTCTTAAAGTTTCCATCTCAGCTCTGTTATTCAGTATGTGGCAATTTTACGTATACAACATTGCTTCTATAGCACGGGAAAAATATAACGTTCCGTACTTGGGTAAAGGTCATACCTCATTTTTTTCTTTGAGTTTTGTGATCATAACGATCACGGGACTGTCTTCCTGCCAAACCATCTGCCAGAAGTCATTCACGGTGTTGATCATGGGGCCCTGCGTGGCGATGAACGCTTTCTCCTTGCCGCTGTAGCCCTGGTGTGAGTAAAGAGACAACAATGTTGGCTTTGAAGGTCATGCCTCGTGCCGAAAGTTTGCGTGAAGGATCTTTAAAACAAAAGAGCCCTGCTAGTCTGAAAGCAACACAGACTTTGGCAGCTTCAGGATTCTAGCACCGCAATTCACCTGGCTGTCTCCCAGCAGGGCAGGTGCAGCATACAGTACTGACAGCTCTAATGCTCAGGTCTTTCCAGAGCATCTGAGAAGGAGAATTGCAGCCACAGACACGCAGGAAGGGAAGACATGCTTTAATGACCCACTGCTAGTGTTACTATGACCAAGCAAGCAAAAAAAAAAAAAAAAAAAAAAAGCCCTGCTAGTAAACAAGTTAAATCAAAATCAATATATTCTGAGGGAAAAAAACCAAAACCCCCCAATAATTCCCAATAGCAAATTGACATGCTCTTCAGGAAGAAATTTACATTTATTTACTTACCCTAATATAATTAGCATTAATGTAGGTGCTCAAAGAATCAGTTACATGTTTTGGTCTTAAACATACTCTGCTGAGGGGATCTAATGAAAAAAACAAGAAAGAATATAGTAACCAGATTAACTCTTTTAAAAGTTCCTTGGAGCACCAATAACCCGTACACAGCACACTTGTTGTCTTATAGCATGACCATCTGGCATGTGTCAGTGTTTTCTGCTGGTGTGTCTGTGTGTCCGGCTCTTGATCCATTTTATTTTATTGTTTTATGTTTATTGAGGGACATTTGGGACCGTCTTGACCCTTGATCCTGACACAAATCTCGCCCATAAGCCTGAGATGATGTTTCTACTTCACGTTATTTTTTTGTGGGTTTCCGATTCTTGACCCCATTTCTCATCTCTGCACCTTTTCTTGTTCTTTGCATTTGGGATTTGCCTCAGATCTCCCAACTCTGGCCTCTCTTGTCCTGAGCAACCACTCGGTCTGGCCCGAATCTCCTCTCACTATTTGGAAGAAGCTGTCTTTCGTTACCACGGGTTCATTCACTGACAGCATGAATATCTGATATCAAGTCAATTATTGCAGTGCTGGCAACGCTGTCTTAAATTCTAAAATCACTTTCCATCAAGAAGTTGGAAGGCTCTTTGCGAACCATGATGTTACGAAAAACATGGTAGTGATTCTTACCAACATTCTCATAAATGAGTTAAGATCAAATCATCCCTTTACAATTTCTTTAATGCAGTACATTGTAAACCTCTTGAAGGCAAGGATGAGGATTTTTCATGATCTCTAGAAGACCTAGTATTTAGCACAGTGCTTCTATGTATAATAGACAATAAATATCTATTGCATTGATTTAAATGGTCCCCTCCATTTCTTTAGAAGTCAGCCCCATACATTCCTCTCCAGCAACTGTCCTGTCGCTCTTCTTCCTGACAGGTAAATTCTCAGAGTGCATCATGCCCAATTTCCTGCCTCCCCATCCACAATTCAATCCTTCTTGCATACACTCTACCCACCCTAACCCTAGTCTTATGCAGACACTGCTCTTGCTCACGCTGCTCCAGACCCTTTGTTACTAAACCCAATGAGTCTATGGTGGTATTTATTTTTTCATGTCCTCTCTGTGGAATTCAAAAACTGTTGACCATATATCTTTTTTTTTTTGAGTTTTCTCTTCCCTTGGATGCAGGGTCACAGCATTCTGGTTTTGCTGCTACCTCTTCGGTGGTCTCTTTTCAATTTCCTGCTTATTTCGTCTGCCCCCTTTAATGATGCAGATTCTAGGATTCAACGTGACCCTCTTCTGTGCTCACTTGATGCTGCCTTGTTGGGTAATTGGTTCCTTCCCATGATTTTATTACCCATTTCCTGAAGACTCCCAAATATATATCTTACCGAAGGCTACTCTCCTCACTTAGAGACCACATTTAAAAGTTTTTTTGTTTCCTTCTGGGTATCCCACAGGTTTGTGAAACTCCACGTGCTCCACGTGTTCCTGATAACCCCGTTATTTTTTGTCAGGTGTGCACACTAGTTGTCCTACTGGACTCGACACTCCATGTCCAATCATTCATACTCTGTCCGTTCTGTTTCCTAAAACTCACTGGGGTCTATCTTGCCTCCATCTTTCCAAGGCTTTCTTCTTAGACAGGGACCTGACTCTCCCATCTGGTTACTGCCTTCAGTCTGGTTCTTCACCAATCCATCCTTCTCACAGCTGCCAAGGCGGTGTTTGTAACGTAAAATCTGATCACATCCATGGTCCCTAATTGCCTACAGCAGTATTTCCCAAACTCTTACCTATAAATCATTTCTTCTGTAATATATAGAATGGCATCGTATAATGTGTAAATTAGATCATCCTTAATAAAAGGGGGTTCAGTAATCAAATAAGTATGGAAAACACTGAATTCAACAAACTTGAAACCCATTCCTTTTACTGCAGGATTTCTCAGGATCTTTATTATGCTAATACACTCTGTGAATTTCCAAGAAGATATTATTTATGAACTCATTTGTCCATTGCACTCATTTTATTATGAATACTTATTGAAAATTCAACCGCCTAGAGCAACACAGCCCAACAGAACTTTCTGTACTGATGGAAATGTTCTCCAGCTGCCTTGTCCAAAACGGTAACCACTAGTCAGGCTGGCTCCTGAGCACTTGAAATGTGGTCCATACAAACTGAGGAACTAAAGTTTTAATTTTATTAAATTTTCATTAATTTAAATTCACATAGCCAGATGTGGCTAGTACCTGCTCTACTGGACAGTGAAGGTCTAGAGGATGAAACCCAAGCTCCTTAGTGGGTCCAGCAAGTCTTCACCTTCTCCCACAGCCTCATCAATAATCATGTTTCTATGCGGACTGGATGCTCCAGTCACATGGCCCTCTGGCCATCTCCCAAACAGGCCATGTTCTTGAAGATTCTTGGCTTCTGCATACATTATTTCCTTGTCTTCTCTGCATGGTAAAGTCTTCCTCTCGGGGCTCAGTTCAAGAAGTAGCTTCTTTCTGAAGCCCTCCCTCCGTTGTCTTCCCAGGCAGAATTAGGTAGCCCTTCCTTTGCTCAGGCTCCTTGAGTTTCATTTTAGTATTTAACATCTTGTATTTTAAGTGCTTAAATGTTTGCCTGCTCTTAATGGATTGTGGTGAGCCCCTTGAGAGCAAGGGCTATATTTAATTAACTTTTTGTCCTTTGTGATTTCTATTTGGTATGTGGCTCAGAGAGTGTTTAATATCAGAATTAATTTTGATTAGACAGAGTTAAAACTCTGGTTTTTTTCTAGATGTTTTTTCCTTTCTTAGCAAAGGGGACAGGAAAATTTCCACTCCTTTTTGTTATCCACTGATTATTAAAAGTTTCCACAAACACCCTAAACCACTCATACTTGAAAAGAGGCTCACTTTTTTTCAGTTTTGATAATGCCTACAATGTATATGAGTTACTGGGAACTCGACCTCAGAATTGCTTAGAAGCAGATTTCCTGTCAAGCTAAATTAGCTTTATGTTGGAAATTGGTAATTTGTAGTATTTCCAAGTATTCAGAGATTTCCAAATACTAAAAAAAAACAAAAAACAAAAAAACCCCACAAGAATACAATGTATGTCTGAGCAGGGGAAAATGTACGGTTCCAACCAAAGCCTTTTTAATGTTAGTATAATCTAATAAAAAAAATCCAACAATTAAAAAACCCCCAAATTTTGTTGCCATTGTCATCACTACTGTTATAATTTTATTCATGTGATGCACTGTCAGTCTACATATTAGTCTAATTCACTAGGACAACTTTTCTGAGAGTTGATATTTCTGGATTATATGTTAAACATTCAGCATATCGTTCATGGCACATCTGGACAGTAACAATTAGAAATATTATTAATATTTGTATCAATATAAAAGTATCAATTGAACACTGATCATTTTTCCTCCCGCTCTTACACTCTTCCTTTTTCATTTCCTCCTTTCCTTTCTTCCTCTTTCCTTCTTCTCCTTCCTTCCTCCTCAGCTCCCGTCCTTTCTTTCTTTTCTTCCTTCCTTCTTTTCCTCTCTTCTTCCTTTTCTGGCGTCTTCCCTCCTTCCTTTTTCCTCTCTCTTCTCAACCAATTACAACCACATACAGGTCTGGTGTGCAGAACACATGAACTTTCCCCACCCTGGTCTCTTTAAATTACCTTCTGGCAATCTTAAACCTTTTACTTATCAGACAAAGTGGTACCCAGGTCTTGATGTTTTGATTGGCATCATATCAGATTTTGTGAACGGTTAGTTATCCTGTGCTGAAGATTTCCTTTCCAGGAAGAAATGGGCTTGAGGTTTGAAATCGGAGAAGACGCTGTTGGATGAGGGACACGTGCATCACTGGTGGTGAGAGGCAAAGGCAGGCACGAGAGGGGGTGGATAGTTTTCAGAGATGAATTCAAGATAAATAGGAAATGGAAGCAAAGGCAGGGACTGGCCACCCCTTCGGGGTGACTGGGAGTCATTTTCAAATTTGTTGCAGGCGAAAGAGAAGATTCTAGGCTTGTGTTGTTCACGATGGTAGTCCCTGGCCATGTGCAGGAAAATCTAAGTTAATTAAAATCTAAAAATTTAAAAGCCAGTCCCTAAGGTGCACCAGCTATACTTCAAGTGGTCATGGCCACATGTAGCTAACGGCTCTTGGTGTCCATCACTGTGGAGGTTTGGTGGACAGGGCTGATTCTGGCAATGCAGGATGGTGACTATGTGAAATTCACTTTTTAAGATCCATGTGAACATTGTAAGAGAAAGCAAGGCTCTTCAATACCCTGTTTTTGAAACTGGAAACTTCTCTCTCCACACTCAGTGTTCTTACTTTCTGGAATTGCGTCTGGGGTTGATGATGGATTTATCTTCAGTTAGGTAGAGAGGAAAATGAGAAACTAACATTAGCTGAGGGTTTACTATTAGTGGGAAATTTCCTAGGCATTTTTTACAGATTATTTAATTCCTTCACTAGCCCTACAGGGTAATAGTACTATTACGATTTTTAGGGATAAAGAAAGGACGGCACAGAAAGATCAAGCAGCCCGCCATAAATCGTAAATGCTTTTGCCAGGACAGGAAATCAGGTCTAACTCCAAAATTTTCCCTCAGCCACACAACTTGTGGCTTTAATGAGTGGTTTGCTTATTTGCATAGCCACTGTATTCCAGGTGCTTATTATAATAAAACAGAAAACATAATTTAAGTAGAAAACATCACCAGACTTGACATGTTTGAATGAAACAATGGCCAGAGTAAATAGGAGTGTTAAATTTTATCTATATTGTTTTATATTTGTACTAACAAATTGACTGCATGAAAGAAATACACATAAAATTCACTCTTATACTTTGTTGTACGAATAATTTCATATTGACACAAGAACAGTTTTTTCCCCAATTGTTCTGGTGTTTAGGACATAGACATAATTTCATCACTAATATTTGTTTATATTGCAAAGTAATTTGATATAAACTTGACCTTAGCCCTTTAATCTACCACTTAAGAATGTTCTGAGCGAGGCTGACATCATCCTTAGAAAAACAGCTACAATTTAATTAGTCCTTGGCCATCCATATTTCTGCTGCAGAACATCCTCCCAATTATATTACCTCACTAATATGTACAAGCCGGAACCTTTCCAACTTGAGAGTTTATTGCAGGTTGAAACAATAAAAACAATTATGATATTTAAAATCTTCATCACTGAAAAATTATTATTTTATGGAGTGTTTCAAATGTATCCCATATTACAGTCTAAAATAAACCATAAAGAGCAGCTTTTCTTATTCATTCCAGTCTTTTGTGATGATTTTCAACCAACAATGTGGCTTGCCCAGGCTATATTTACTAAATTATATTTTGCTCAACAGGGGGTGGGTGGGGTATTCAGGCTACAGACATTTTTCAACAGAAAATCCGTCATTTGCAACATCAGTTGTCAGCACAGGTGCCCTGGTTCAAGTGACCCACCCAGTTCTGGGAATGGAAAAGCTGACACAGGACTATGGAGCAGTCGTCTGATACCATCTGGGCAGGAAACAGAGAAGGCTGAACTTTAAAATAATCCTGATAACTTCCAAATCCTCCTGAGATGAGGTGGTTAAGTATAATAATTGCAATGGATGTACACGCCCTAATTATTTATGTTTGGTGAATTTCAGATGAAAAATCCTGAGAGAGTCAGAGAGAGAGAGAGAGAGTCACTGGTTCTAACACTTTCATTGCCTCCAGCCAACTGTAATTAGAAAATATCTTTCAACAGTGACTACCCCTTAGGTGAAGAGATTTAACTATGCAGTCCAGTTGAAAATATGTTACAGTGGAGTAATATTTACAATGCGTTTCCAACTCCAACAGAAGGGGAAACCCAAAGATACCATTAACAGTAATTCATGCTCTATTACCATAAATACGGAGAATTTGGTATTTTATCAGTGAATTAATGGACCGAATTATGAAGACGCAACTATTTCAATACAATAGCTAAAAAAAAAAATTTGTGGCTCCATTTTTCCAGAGCTATTGCCTTGAGATGTTTGTGGATTTTGCCAAAGCTCCAACTATATCTGTTTAATGACTGACAATATTGCTTCCTCTCCAAAGTATTTTTGCTATTCTAGGCAGAATTACTTACTCAGTCCTCTTCATAATCCTACATCACTTGGGCAAGATCTCTATTCTGGCTCTTACTGTATTGAACATAATTACTTGTTTATGTATCTCTCCTCTCTAGTCTGTGACCTCCTTGATCTTAAGTGCTGCTCCTTATTCCTTGTTGGTTTCTGACATCTAGCTCATTGCTTGACACTGATCAATTTCATGGACTTAAAAAATTTAGTTTTAACATACTCTAAGCACTGTTTCTCAAAGTGTGGTCCTGGTATCATCTGCATCAAAATCACCCACCTATCTCTTAGAAATACAGATTCCTGGGTTCAATAGAACCTGCTTAAACAGAATCCCTGGGGTGGGGCATAGGACTCTGGGTTTTTAACAGGGACTCTAGGTTAAGCACAATGAAGTCTGGTTACAGCTTTTTTGAGATAGAATGCACATACCAAACAATTCATTCATTTAAAGTGAGCCGTCACAGAGTTTATTTTTACTTTTTTTAATTCCCAGAGATGTGCAGCCATCAGTGGTGGAGAAAGCATGTGGGCAGATGTGTTTGGGTTTGAATCTTGCTTCTTTAATGTCTATAAGCCTCAGTTTCCATCTCTGTAAAAAAGGAACAATAATATCTTTCCAAGTTACGATGAGAACAGCTAACACTGAACACTTTGTTGTGTGTGAAGCACTGGACTTGACAACAACCCTGTGGGGTGGATACTATTACTCCTGCTTCACAGATGAAGTTAAGGAATTTACCCATGGCCATACAGTAAGTGGTGCGGCTGGATCTGAACCCCAGCAGTATGGCTCTGGAGGCAGCCCCTGGAGCTCCCAGACTCTTCTGTAAAGATCCAAGATAGCAAATAGAATGTTTCTAGGAAGGATAACATTTCGTTATCCCCCAAGTAAATGCCATCCCCTTTAGCAGTCATTTCTCATGCTCTCCAACACTAGGCAACAACTGTAGCTCCTGTCTCTACAGATTTGCCTAACTGGACACTTCGTATGTTGTTATACAATATAAGGTCTTCTGTGATGGCTTCCTTCACTTAGCATAATGTGTTCAAGGTTCATCCACATTGTAGCACCACACATCGGCACCTCATTACTTTTTATTGCTGAATAATATTCCATTGTGTGAAGATAACTACATTTGACTCATCCGTTCATTGCTTGATGGATATTTGTTTGTTTCTACTCTTTGGGCTGTTATGACTAATGCTGTTACAAACATTTGTGTACAGCTTTTATGTGGACACATGTTTTTATTTTTCTTGGGTATATTCCTAGGAGTAGAATGTCTGAGTTATACAGTAACTCTAGGTCTTACCTTCTGAGGAACCACCAGACTGTTCCTAAGCACCTGTACCATTTTACATCCCTACCCACAAAGCATGAAGGTTCCCACTTCTCTACATCCTTGCCAACACTTTCTATTGTCTTTTTTATTATAATCATGTGGATACACAATGGTATCTCATTGTATTTTTTTAAAACAATTTTTTTCCTTTTCATTGTGTTGAGCAATTTTTCATTTGGTCACTGGTCATTTGTTTATCTTTTATGGAGAAATGTCTATTTTAAGTCCTTTGTCCATTTTAAAATTGGGTTATTTGTCTTTTTATAATTGAGTTATAGGAGTTCTTAAATATTCTAGAGATGAGATGTATAATTTACAAATATTTTCTCCCATTTTGTGAGTCATCTTTTTCTTTTCTTTTTTTTTTAAACTTTTTTTTTATTGAGTTATAGTCATTTTACAATGTTGTGATCTTTTTATTTTCTTGATGGTGTCCTTTGAAGCACAGAACTTTAAAATTTTGATCAAGTTCAATGTATCTGCTTTTTTGTTGTTGCTTATACCTTGCTGTCATATCTAAGAAATCACTGACGAATTCAAGGTCATGAAAATTTACATCTACTTTGTATGAACAATTTTATTTTCGCCCTTACATTTAGGCCTCTGATCCACTTTGAATTAATTTTTGTATATTGTGTGAGGCATATATTTTTTTTTTTGCAGGTGGATATCCAGTTGTCTCAGCACCATTTACTGAAAACACTATTCTTTCCCCATTGACCTGCCTGACACCCTTAGCGAAAATCAACTGACCATAATGTGTGCCACAGTAAAGTTCCTGAACCATGTGTCAACTGGAATTGTGAGCTGATGATTCTAATCAGAGTAATACAAGATAAAGTTACTAACCTCAGACCACTTGAATGATTATTAGTCCTGATATGTGTTTGCAACTCCCAAGTGTGTATATGGAAATTGTGAGGATGGGAGATGGTGAGGTGGGGGGTGAATGGGGAAGGCTTGTGCTCTGCAAGACAAACTACTTACTTGGAAGAAAAGAAAGAAGGAGAGAGCGAGAAAGCAAGCAAGCAAGAAAGGAAGGAAGAAAGAAACTTACTTGGCAAAATGGTCTTATAGCGATTTTTAGTTCCATGACGTGGAATGTCAATTTCTTTGGGATCCACAAAGTTCATTGGTATTTCCTGCAATAATAAATGATATCAAATAGTGTATCTAATGCTGCCACAAAGGAAGCCTTCACAGGGGGTAAGCTGATCCAGGGTTCTACTGGACTTCAAAGTCATTTATAAAACGACAGACCACCCCCTCTGGTTGGTCAACACCCTTCCTTTCATAAACATACCAGCTGCACCCTGACAAGCTGACTTTAAGAAAAGGCTTTGTGTGTTAGAGTGTATTACTGTATCTGTAGTTACTAAAGAGACACAGACAATTTTGGTTAGGTTTTAAGAATCCTGTTCTGACTTAATTGCTGGAAATCTACAAACAGGCAACAAAAAAAATCTGCTTTTAAAACAACGTATTCCAATTTCTTCCAGTCTTTCTGTAGGTTCGTTACCAAAAACTTCCTTATGATGGATTCACTTTTAACATGAGTTGTAATTCTTTTAGCATTATGAAAACCTTCCTCCCCAAATGGTAAATATAAAGGACATTTTTGTTGATGCGAGTGATGCTCATATGATGCATTTTTTGTATTAAGAAAAGATTGACATTGTGCTGTTCCTTTTGTGGTTGTAAATGCATTATTTTTAGTGAAGGGCACCCAGGCATTGTCATCTCCCACTTGAGAAGGATATAAATATTCTTATTCAATCAGAATGTATGTCAAATGATGGGGGAAGGAACAATTAGCATAGAAGTGGCTCTCTGTGTGAGACCTGTAAGGTGAGTGCCTGAAGCCAACTTGGACAAAGAAAACAACAAGTCAAAATTTTCAAAATGGTCCGAACAAATATTTAAAGATTCGGTTATACAAAATAGGATGTTCTCTAACTTAAAATTCTGCAAAGGATTGCTTAACTAAGGTTAGTGTGAAATGAAATAATTTTTATCCCTAGATCACATAAGATAATATTTTTGTTACTTTCACTTTCCCTGGCAGAAAATAGAACTCAACAGTCTAATATTCATTGAAATGAAAGAAATTATCTACAAATTGATTAAAATTGACCTTGTTTTCAGTTAATCTGAAAATCTGAGAAAAGCCTGACGATACGATGAATTTAAGGCTTGGTCTATAGAGAGTAGCTTACTTTTAAAAT